AGAAATTTTAGAGCCAACCAGTTATATGGCCAACAGATAGTTTACTAACCAGCCAAAAAAAAAAAAGAGGAGATAAGAAGAAGAAGCAGCAGCAGCAGCAGAGGCAAGAAAAATTTAAATCAACTGACAAAGCTAACAAACAACCTTCGTCATTAGCCTTAGCCAAACTATGGCATGTCAACGAAAATTAGCATTTTTTTTTCTCTTCTTCTTCTATTTTTTTTTTTTAGAGGGACGACGCGTTGTCTGAAGCTGGGAGCTAAAAAAAAATAAAGTAAAACCAAGCCAAGTTGAAACTGAAGTCAATCGAACGGCGAGCAGCACGTTTCATGTTCAGTTGCTTGAAAACTATGCGTAGGTAAGAACGCGACGTTGTTGTTGCTGAGCCAACACACACACACACACACACATGAGCACACACACACACACATGAGCACACACACATATGCATGCCCACTACAGCCTACGCATATTTTGCAATTTTCGTTTGTAACGCCCACGCATTTGAATTAGCTTAGAAATCAGCAACAACAACAATAGCAACAACAACAGAAACAACAACAACACACGTCTCATATAGTTGTATTCACATTATTTGCTTAGCTTTGAGACACACTTTTTGACTTGGCTTTCAGACTGCGACATCGATTCGAAATTTCGATCTATAGATAAGACATAACCTGGAATATCGGCAACACATTGGAGTATCTTCAGATATCTCGAATATCTTCAACTGTTAGATACGCTAACATAGCTGTAATCACATTTTTAAATATCTCTGTTATATGCAGATTTCAGTTAATAAAACTTCCTATAGTCCATCATAGGTTTATCTACCTATACATATGTACATATGCGTATGTATGTTTAGCTAGATCTCATAGATTTTGACAATACAGACGCCTCATTATGGCACATATCATAAATCTTTTTGAAACTTGGCCAACAGCTTAGCCCGATTTGGATATTCTCTTGCATCAAGAACTCCTTCAAGAGTTTTGAGATTAGCGTTAAGTTACGCCGGATATGCTTGGAACTGCAAAATAGAAAGGAATTGGGGATCTGATGCACTAACTAATACCCTGTATTAGTGAAGCGTAGAAGTGTATTATAGCCTTGAAGGTTATAGACTAAGTTGGCACGATGTAGATTTGCTGTATTTTATTTTTATTATAGATCATATGTAGCTAATGATATGCTCTTGACTAGCTAATACCCTTTAAAAATGATTTTAATGATTTTTTGTATAATACCCAAAAAAGGCTGTTGCTCGGTTACTGGGTATCTCTATTATGCATAACTGCAATTTATGGCATCTGCCACACCCCCTCAAACACACATACAGACAATAGTTAAGGCTGGGCAGCAGCTGCATTATGCGAGCGGAAAATGTGAAAATGTGGTTCACAACGCCCAATGCGAGTAAAAGCGATGCAAAAAAAAAAAAAAAAAACAACATAGAAAAAAAAAATTCAGTTTAATCACCTCAAGAAAAAGGCCCATATGGCCAGATGACAAGCGGAGCCACCAACACAAACAACTCCCAAACGGAGAGCCCACGCCAAAAGAGTAGACAAACACACACACACACAGACACACATACATTCATATATAACTGTGCATAGTTAGGTCTATGCGCAATTGGACACACGGAGTGTGAGAGCTAGAGAGAGACGGAGAGGTGGGGAACGTGCAGGCTTCAAAATAAGACGGGCGGCGAATGGTGGGCGGGGCAGAGCAGATTGATCAAGCGATGCGTCGACTGCAGATTTAATTACCTGGCCAGCATATTTTCACCCGCCTGGCAACAGCTGAGCTGAACACACGAAGCTTTGGCAACGGCTTCCAACTGGAGCATGGGCGTCGACGCCAACGCTAACGCCAACGGCGACGTCAACGGCTACGGCGACGCCAACGTTCAATGAAATTTCATTCACAAAAATTCACTAAAAACGAAGCAACGAAGCAAAGGCAACGGACACAAGTCACGCATGCGCGGCACCAACTGCGACCACACTGACGCCCAACAGTATGCGCACACATGCAAACAGATGGGAAAGTTTCCATAGTAGAAAATCCACTTTTATAACAACTGAACTTCGTCAAAAGTTATTCAATTTCAGTTTAATTAAATCTTTGCTAAGTCTATGTAAATAAAACAATTCAACTACGAAGAGTATATATAAAAAAATATTGATATACTTAATTTGATATTTATTGATAATATCAAGTGAGTTATTTTAGTTAGCTCTACTATGAATCTCAGTTAGCCCACGGCTTGGATCAGACGCCAGCGCAAATGTTGGCGTATCGAATTAAATTCCGGCAGCGCCGCCAAATTGAACTCCTCACCGGAGTCCAAACGATGATCGTACAGCTCCTCGCCGTAGATATTGTGCCAATCTGTAGAAGGAAATATAGAAGAGACTACAGCTGGACTAGATCTAAGCTAGGGATATTAATTAAGTTATAGCTTATATATTATGCAGGCGAAATTAAGACGTAAGAGGATTTTCTATTATATCTTTAATCTTATATCTTATATTGTTAAGTTAATATAAGTTAATATATTGTGATATAAGTTTTCTATTTATATAATAAATAATAAATAGCATAAGAAACTTATCGAGTTTCATAGATTCCTTTAGGAATATTTTGGGAACTTGGACATTTATATTATAGTCTATAAACCTACCTCGACTGAAATTGTGGGCATGGAACCGCACCCAGAGCGTGTAGCGATAGTGACTCGTGCGTAGGGTGTAGCCCATGATTTTGATATTGCGCAGCTTGGGTTTGTCGCTGTTGGGATGCTTGGTGGGCAGCATGCCGGGACGGGGATATTGGCTGATGGCCACATAGTCCTCACCTAGAAGATGAACCGATTTCCACCTCTTTTAAGGGAGCTGCAATGGTAGCAAACTCAAACTCACCCAAGTCCAGGTCTTGCAGCATAGGATACAAGCTCTTGCCTTGGGAGCAGCTCAACTGTTCCAGCCCGCTGCCATTGCAAGCTGGCAGTGGAGGCAGATGCGCCAAGTCCACCAGTGTGGGAAAGACATCCACCAGCTCAGTGATGCTGTGACGCCCTCGAGGCTCTGACAAAGGGAACTCCGGGCTGCGTATGATGAGGGGCACACGCAGGGCAACCTCAAAGTTACTGTACTTGGCCCACTCGGCGTGCTCGCCCAGCGACCAGCCGTGATCGCCGAGCACAGCGATAACTGTGCGCTCCAGATCGAGGCCAGCCAAGAGCTTGCCAAAGAGATCATCCACATAGGCCACCGAGGCGTAGTAGGCCTGGCGTATCTGCGCCGCCTGCTGCCTGGAAATGGGTCCATAGGGAAACGATATATTCCTATGCTTGAAATCATCTCGGGAACGAACATCTGTGTAGGGATTCCAGGCCACATCCGGCATGTCTGGCGGCTTCAGTACATCCTCCGTGTAGTTGTAGAAATGTGAGAGGGGAAATTTGCCCAGAAACTGCCGAGGAAAGCGAAAGTTGATGTGCGGCTTGTGGAAGCCCAGAGCCAGGAAATAGGGCTGGCGACTATGCTTGCGGGCATCAATGAAGCGCAGCGCCTCCGTCACGGACTCAATGTCCGGCAGCGTTTTGTACGGCTGCGTTTGCAGCTCCACTGGACAAATGAGGTAGTTCTTGCGCAGCACACCTCCACCATGCTCGGGACAGACGGGCGAGTTCATGAACTGCTCGGTGCGAGGATGAAAAGCTGGCGCAGACCAGCTCAAGGGATAATCATCGGTGTTGTTGGAGGACAGGCCCGGATGGAAGACCTTGCCACAGCTGTAGGTGTAGTAGCCGTGCTGTTGGAAGTACTGCGGCAGCGTAGTAAAGTTGCCCACAAAGCTGCGCCAGTAGCTATAGAAGTCGTACAGGTGCAGGGTGTCTGGACGACGTCCAGTCAGGAGGGAATTGCGGCTGGGAGCGCACAGCGCTTGCTACGGGCGGGCAGATGACATGAGAAGCTGTTCAAGTTAGTCCGGGCTGCTGGTTTACCTGGCTGTAGGCGTGGCTGAAAACATTGCTGCCTTGGGCAAAAGCATCCAGATGCGGCGTTCGAGCCAGACTATCGCCATAGACACCCAGAGCTGGGCGCAAATCGTCAAAGATGACCATGACCACATTGTACCGGGCAGTGGATTGGCCAGAAGCTGCAGCTGCTCCAGTGTAGAGCGTAATCCATAGTAGCAACAGCTGCAGCAGCGACGGAGCTGAGATATGGGACATGTCGACGCGAGACTCTTTTGCGACTGCAGTCTGAAAGATGAGCAAGCGGCGGATGTGAATGCCGGCGACTTTGTGCTGTACGAAGCTGATTAACCAGACGGGCATATTAGCTGGACTTGCAGGCATACACAATCTATATGTATGGCAATTATATAAATTTGTATATGTATCAGGCATATGGCAATTACAACCAGCTGGCAATTAACTATTCAACATCATACAAATAAAACGGGCTTAATTTAGTAGAGTTTGACTAACAATTTATTTACATACAGAGCATGCGTAAGTCGTGCATTGGCTTGGCTTAAAATTTCGCTTGTTTACGTTTCACAAAGAGCAAAAAATATACGCAAACAATAAAAAAAATAATAATAATAATGAAGGCAGCCCAAGAGTAAACGAGCGGCGTAATTCAAAACCGCCCCCATTATATTTCAATTAAATTTAACGGAAGCGGGCCACGTCCACACGACAACGACGACGATTGGAATGTTGTGGAATGGAATGGAATGGAAAGGCGAGTCTGCAGCCGCGTCATAAAAGCCTTAAAATATTTGTATTTACACAGACCTACATACATTTGCACATATAATATATATATATATAGTTTAATGATTAACAAGCTAACGAGTTAGCATAATTTGTTATTTTTCTTTGTGATTTTTAAAAACTTAACAGTCCAATTTGTCTGGTTGAATATACATATATGCAGCTAAAAATTTCTCTCTCTCGCTCTCTTTCTCTCTAACTCGCGATCAGAGAGGGAGAGCGAAAGTGTTAACTGGGCATTTAAAATGTTGCTCCACAATTGCTGCAGCGCTTCTCGCGCATCGCCAGACAGCAGAGGATGCCGATGGGAAAGAAGAATATTGCACAGCAGAGACCCAGCGGCGAGAATGTGTCTTCCAAATAGCCAATGCGACACGAGGGACAAGCTCCAATCACAATGATCTCTGTGGGCAGCGCTGGCTGCACCACAATGCTAACTGGCGTCGTCTCGAATGCACCGTAGCTGGCCATGTTTGGCGGCGCTGTCGGCGCGCCATGATGCACACCAGCTATGAGCCGAGAATCTGTGTACATACGTGAATACTATTTATTATATTCAATGTTTTGTTTTGCTATAATTCGATAAGCTACCTTGCATAGGGGGTGCACTGCCTCGCATGACTTCCTCGTAGCTGGGCGGTTCTGATTCTTTTGCTGTGTTCGCAGCCATTGTGACGAAAAAAAAGCTTTGACCGGTGATTCACACTATTTTCAATACTTGATATTTGGCGTTAATTAGTTATTGTTATTGTGGCGTTTCTATTGTGTCAGCTTGTACTCTTTGTTTGTATTGCAATCATTTGGCCTATCGATGAATCAGCTGTTGCTGTGTTATCGATTAAGCTGCAGCACAATGCAGCTAGCGCACCTACGCCGACGTGTAACGGCTTTAGAGCAGAGCAATAAGATTTTAAATTTGGCTTTCAATTAGTTATGCCTTGCTATTTTGGCATTTAAAACTTAAATAATGCATGAATATTAAAGTGAATCAAGCTTTTTACACATATATTGGTATAACTAATTGTAATTTAATTTAATCTATTTTTTTTTATACGCAGTAGATATATTGGTATTCAATGCTACTTAATTTGGTATTTTTAATTCATTTTTAAAATGTATTGCTTCTATATTTCTCGCTATTTTGCACATTTAATATTAAAATTCATTGCAAAACTGCTGCAATCTATTCGATAAATATATGCCGGTGGATAGACAATTTCGATAGGCAGCACAAAGCGACCATGAAATATTCTTGTATACCTATAGCTGTACTCCTCTGCCGCCATTGGTCTCTTGTCTCTGTTGACGCAAAATCGGTATAAAACATTCGCCCATTGTAGTTTGTTAATTAAAACAGTGAAAAATATATAAATAGTGCAATAAAGTTGGCGCAAGTCTTGCGCATTTAGTTGCACGCAACGTGCAGAAAGTGAGTGTTGAGCGCTGCGTGTTTTGGCAACTTTTGTGTTGCATTTTCGGTTTTGCTAAATCGATTGGCATTTTTTTCTCTATGTCTATTTCCGCTGCTTCGATTGTTGTCTCATTCATGCGCGCTTGAATGAACGAATGCTTAGAAGAGGAATAGAGAAGCCGCCAGCGCCGCCGCCAAGCAGTCCATAGTACTACAGAAAAGGCAACAAAAACAACATCAACAGTTTAGTGGGGAGGTAAACAAACAGAGTACCGTTTATTGCGTCAGCTAGGGTAAGCGCAGTAGCCGCTAATGCGCGACATGGCCGATCTAGATGCAGTTCATCTCGGCCTGGATGAGAATGAGGCGGACATTGCCGAGGAATTGCAGGACTTTGATTCGTTTGACACGCGAAGCGAGGCATCCAAGTCGCGAGCTGGTTCTATGGCGTCCGACTCGGAGCCAAGCATTAGCTCTGTAAGCACGGCACCGTCCTCCGTAGATGGCAGCAGGAGTGGCAAACGTACGTCCAAATCCAAGTCGAACAATAAAACAAGCAAAGAAACTGCAGCTAAATCCACATCAGCTGCCTCCGCAAGCAAGTCCAGCAAATCCTCCAAGAAAACGAAACGATCCGCATCGCCTGGCGATCTTAATGGTAAGAAGAAAAAGTCAAGCAGCAGTGGCAGCGAATCCAAGTCGAAGAAACCCATGGATACAGATGACAAAGGCAACTCCAAGTCGCAGGACAGCGAGGAGCGTGAGTCGAGCTTGAAGAAGACGCGAAGCAAGAAAAATGTAAGTGGTAGCAGCTCCACAGCAGCTCATCTGAGTGGAGTAAGTGGTGGCAATAAGAGCGATCTAAGCGACGCGGAGGATGAGAAGCCGTCGCTGCCTGCCCTTGAATCGGACAGCGAGTCCTCGGACTCGGATTCGGGCATACAGCACAAACGAAATGGTGGCGCCCGCAGCAAGGCAGCCATGGCAAACAGCTCAAAGGGCTCCACGCCAGAAAAGGATGGTGGCGGCAGCGGTACCACACAGAAGTCCTATGACTACATGACCAAGCTTAACTATCTATTCCGCGACACCCGCTTCTTTTTGATCAAGTCGAACAACAGCGACAACGTGCAGTTGTCCAAGAGCAAGAGCGTGTGGGCAACGTTACCGCAGAACGATGCTAATCTGAGCCAGGCCTTCAAGGAGGCGCGCAACGTGCTGCTGATATTCTCCGTCAACGAGAGCGGTAAGCTGGCTAATTGGAATATCTTCCGATAGATAATAGATAATTCCCCCTTTTGCCGTCGTTTCTTGTGATAGGTAAATTCGCGGGCTTTGCACGCATGGCCGCGCCCTCACGGCGAGATATTCCGCAGGTGGCTTGGGTGCTGCCTCCCAGCATTTCACCCAAAGCTCTTGGCGGCGTCATTGAGCTGGATTGGATATGCCGCAAAGAGTTGTCGTTCAATGCCACCTTGCATTTGCACAACACGTGGAACGAGGGAAAGCCCGTGAAGATTGGCCGGGATGGCCAAGAGATTGAGCCCAAGATTGGCGCTGAGCTGTGTCGCCTCTTTCCCGAAGATGAGCAAATCGAGCTGACGCCCATCTTGCGCAAGTCCAAGGAGACGGCGCGTGTGATGCGTGAGAAAGGCATCCATGTCATCTACAAGGCACCGCGCAGTCTCTCCACGCGAGGGCACAGTGGTGGGCGTGGTAATAGCCAGCTGGGACCGATGCGACATAAGCGCAGCTATGGCGGACATGGGCAACCACATCATCATCAGCGACCCTATAGGCATCATCATCACCATCATGGCATGGGCATGGGTATGCCGGGCAGCGGTGGCGGCGGCGGCGGCTTTAAGCGCGGTGGTTCACCCTACCGTCAAATGGGAGGCAGTGCAGCCGGAGCCGGCGATATGGGCATGCCCTCGTGGGAGCGCTACATGTCCTCGGCCGCAGCTGCCGAGGCCTATGTGGCGGACTACATACGCAACATGCACGGACAGCTGCCCCCGCTGCCGTTTGTGCCGCCCTTTGGCCAGCTGCCCATGCCCTCGGCTGCAGGAGCTGGCAATGCATTGCCCCCGGGAGCGCCAGCATCAATGTACGAACAACTGCCACCACCGGTGCGGTATTACGATGGACCTGGAGCGCCTCCGCTGCCAGATTACCCGCCGCCACAGCCGATGCGACCACCGCCGCCGGGTTTTGATAAAGCGCCCAGCTACGAGGACTTTGCCGCCTGGAAGAATGCGGGTCTGCCCACAGTGTCCGCACCACCGGGCTTTCCAGTCTACGCCGCCAATGGCGGTGGCAGCAGCAATACCGGTGGTGGCGTGGGCGGGGCCAATGTGCCCAGTATCAGTGCAGGCAATCGGGACAATAACAACAGCTCCGTGGGCGGTCGACGACGCGATTATGGCGGTAACCGAAGTGGCTCCTCGCGACAATTCCGCGGCGAACGTGGCGGCGGTGGCGGTGGAGGGCAGCGCAGCTATCGGGACGGCAGACGTTAAATGTGTCGTTGAGTATTGTTTACGGGTATAAAAAGAAAAATATGGAAAAGTGCGCGAAAGAAAATTCTCTCCTCCCTAGAAAAGTGTCGCGTGTGAATGTACGAAGAAGAAGATGGTCTAGATGATAATGTCTTCAAATGCAATGAAAAATTATAATGATAATGATAATGATAACGATTATAATGATAATGATAAGCTAAGTGAGCAAATGAGCGGGAAACATAGTTGGACCCACACACACAGAGCCCCAGCGCCGAAATAATCGTTAAACAAACCCACAAATCAAATCGTACGAACAGCTCCACAGCTCGTCTCTTACAATACACAACACTCCAACCAACTCTCTCTCTCTTACTTTCTGTTTCTCACACATTCTCTCTCTCCCTTCTCTTTTGCTTAGCTATTTGTCATGCGAAAGTTCTATGATTTAAACAAACTTACAAAATAAGCAAATTATCACAACAACAAAAATCTAATTAATATTTTAAAACGAAAAGAAAAAAAAAATACAGAAAAGAGAGAAAAAATATATGATGCACAAATGTGAACTTTATTTAAAAGACGCTACAACAACAAACAACCCAAACAAAACCAAACCAAACCAACCAAACAGCACCACAAGAACGTACCGTTAACAATGTTAATGAAAAATCAAAGCAGTGATGTGTGCATAATGTGTGTGTGCGTGTGCGAGTGTGTGTGTTTGCGTTTGTGCGCTTTTAATCCCTGTGCTTACCCCCACACACGAGAGTTGGACTCTTAAGGCAATCAAAGTGCTGAATATCGAACGTTCTATGTGGAGTCAATGAAACGCCCCCACACTCCGCAGCACCCCCCTATAAAAAGCAAGCAGCACTCATACTATATATACATATATATGCATATGCATATATATACATATATAAATCGTTATCAATTAACGAGTCAAATCTAAAATCGAATCTAACAACCGGACCGCAAGCTAACCCTTAAGACAAGAGAGCATAAAAAACATGCCAAAAGACCAGAAACATTTCTCCTGGAAACTGAAAATGTTTCCAAAGATCTCAATTGAATTGAAAGGCTCAAATCTTCATTTGGTCCGTCATATTTGATGAGCCTCTTGGCTCTATAAAACGATCCCTATCTGGTCCTATTGACTTTTCAACTTCATAATTTCACAACTGCAATTTTTCCATGACTGCCAAAACTTCAGCATCGTAATGGAGCAAAGGGCCAAAAAGACTGAACGACACCAGAAATCGACAAATGGACTGGATTAGGAACTTTTTTCCTTTTAATTGTTTCTTTACAGGATACTGGAAGGAGCTGAATCTGAAAACTGGTGGAACTAGAGATTAAAGACTGAATTTCTTCCCTCAAGGCTGTGATTATCGCATATAACATGTATACCGCTGGACGTGTTTGAACAAAGTCCAACATATATGGAAAATAAAAGAAATTGAAATATTTCGACTTTGATTTTATTACCATTTTGTTTATTAAATGCAGTTTAAACAGAAAACGGCCAGTTGTGGTTCCTGGATTGCGAAATTTCCCTAGGGATATTTACAGCAGCTGCATAGGCATCATGTATGCAAAATAAAATACCGGAGACGGCTCAATTCCCTCTCAACCGAAGCCGGTGTCCAGTGTGACCGAACTTCACGAAACAGCGAAACTAATCAACAGTTGTGTTATTTTTAATGTAACAGCTGATGTCTTATCGATAATTATTCTACAACAAAAACATAAGATAAATTAAAGCTCGTTTAGCAAAACAAAGACTGCAAATGACATCGACCTTTCATTCTGAATTGCATTTTCAAATGCATTGCTACGCCTAAAGCACATATGCACAAATACATATGTATATATGATCTAAA